CTTGGCCTTCCTTCTGTCTTCTTTCGAAAAGTATCTATTTAGGTCTGCTGCCCATTTTTTGGTTGGGTTGTTTATCTTCCTTTTGTTAAGTTGTATGAGTTCCCTGTAAATGTTGGAGATTAAACCCTTATCAGAGATAATATTGGCAAATATGTTCTCCCATGCAGTGGGCTTTCTTGTTGTTTTGTTGATGGTTTCTTTTGCTGTGCAGACGCGCTTTTTTTAAAAATATATTTTATTGATTTTTCACAGAGAGGAATGGAGAGAGAGAACTAGAAACGTTGAAGAGAAAGAAACATCGATCAGCTGCCTCCTGCACATCTCCCACTGGGGATGTGCCCGCAACCCAGGTACATGCCCCTGACCGGAATCAAACCTGGGACCTTTCAGTCCGCAGGCCAACGCTCTATCCACTGAGCCAAACCGGCTTCGGCTATACAGAAGCTTTTTATTTTGAAGTAGTCCCATTTGTTTTTGTTTTTTTTTTTAAATCTTTATTGTTCAGATTATTACATTTGTTCCTCTTTTTTCCCCCCATAACTCCCCTCCTTCCAGCTCCCACCCCACCCTCCACCCTCACTCCCCACCCACTGTTTTCATCCATAGGTGCATGATTTTTGTCCAGTCACTTCCCGCATCTCCCACACCCCTTTTCCCCCCAAGAATAGTCAGTCTATTCCCTTTCTATGTCCCTGATTCTATTATAATCACCAGTTCATTCTGTACATCAGGTTATTTATTCACTTGATTCTTAGATTCATTTGTTGATAGATGCATGTTTGTTGTTCATAATTTGTATCTTTACCTTTTTCTTCTTCTTCCTCTTCTTAAAGGATACCTTTCAGCATTTCATATAATACTGGTTTGGCGGTGATGAACTCCTTTAGCTTTTCCTTATCTGTGAAGCTCTTTATCTGACCTTCAATTCTGAATGATAGCTTTGCTGGATAAAGTACTCTTGGTTGTAGGTTCTTGGTATTCAGCACTTTGAATATTTCTTGCCATTCCCTTCTGGCCTGCAAAGTTTCTGTTGAGAAATCAGCTGACAGTCGTATGGGTATTCCCTTGTAGGTAATTGAGTCTTTTTCTCTTGCTGCTTTTAAGATTTTCTCTTTGTGTTTTGCTCTTGGCATTTTAATGATGATGTGTCTTGGTGTGGTCCTCTTTGGATTCCTTATGTTTGGGGTTCTCTGCGCTTCTTGGACCTGTAAGTCCATTTCTTTCTCCAGAATGGGGAAGTTTTCTGCCATTATTTCTTGAAATAGGTTTTCAATATCTTGCTGTCTCTCATCTTCTGGCACTCCAATAATTCTGATATTAGTCCGCTTAAAGCTGTCCCAGAGGCTCCTTACACTATCTTCACACTTTCGGATTCTTTTTTCATTTTGCTTTTCCAGTTGGGTGTTTTTTGTCGAATCTTTGGTTTGATTCTTGTGCTCCTCTGGTCTGCTATTGGGTATAATATTCTTTATTTCAGTCCTTGTATGCTTACTTTCTAATTTCTTTATGGTAGCATCGAGGGTCTTATTATTTTTCGTGAGGCTCTGCACAAATTTATGGCAAGCCCTCAAAATTGCGATTCTTAGCTCCATATCCTCCATTTCTGTCATGTTTTTTTGTCTCCGCATCTTTCATGCCTTCTTGGTGCATCCCCTTGTGGTCTCTGTGCGCAGTCTTGTTCTAGCCAAGCCTTAATTGTTGTAGTTAACATTAGAGGGATTTGACCACCAGGCCGACTGGCTGTAGGAATGAGCTGTTTGGAAAGCGTCTGTCTTCTGGGGAGGCGCTAGTCCAGCCCTTGCCTGAGGCGATCGGCAAATGTCTGTGTGCAGAGCTTGGGCAGGGCGGGATCCACAGGGCGGGGGGAGGGAGCAGTTATGGCCGCTCTCAGTCCGTCCCCAGGGGCTCTGCCTCTCTGTTCTGGCAACCCGGCAACCGCTGCAAACCTCGGAGGGGCCGTAGCCAGACAGTCCCGCTTCTCCCGTTTGAGTATGGGTCCCTAGAGACTCACCCGGATCTGTAGCCCAGAGTCTGAGATTCACTCCTGATTGAAAACGACAACCGCGCCCTCAGCCACCAGCTCGCTTTGCGCGCACACCACCTCACCACCGCACCACCGTACCTTTAAATTTTCCACACTGCGCCTCCTCTGTGCGTCGGAATGCTGTTGTTTTCGCTTCTAGTTGAAGAGTCTCTCCTCAGCCAGCCTTCCTGTGGTTCTGGTTGATGTCCGTTCCGACTTTTAGTTGTATTTTTGAAGTGGTTGTTTACGGCGGCAGTCTCCGCTGTTTACCTATGCCGCCATCTTCGAGAGCTTCCCCCATTTGTTTATTTTCTCTTTCGTTTCCAATGCCCTAGGAGCTGTATCAGTGAAGACATTGCTTCAGCATTTGTCTGAGATTTTGCTGCCTGTGGATTCCTCTAGTAAAGTGATGGCAAACCTTTTGAACTCAGCGTGTCAGCATTTTGAAAAACCCTAACTTAACTCTGGTGCCGTGTCACATATAGAAATTTTTTGATATTTGCAACCATAATAAAACAAAGACTTATATTTTTGATATTTATTTTATAGATTTAAATGCCATTTAACAAAGAAAAATCAACCAAAAAAATGAGTTCGCGTGTCACCTCTGACACGCGTGTCATAGGTTCGCCATCACTGCTCTAGTATTTTTATGTTTTCCTGTTTTATGTTTAAGTCCTTTATCCATTTTGAGTTTATTTTTGTGTATGGTGTAAGTTGGTGGTCTAGTTTCATTTTTTTTGCATGTATCTGTCCAATTTTCCCAACACCATTTATTGAAGACACTGTCTTGACTCTGTTGTATGTTCTTGCCTCCTTTGTCAAACATTAATTGAGCATAGTGGTTTGGGTTGATTTCTGGGTTCTCTATTCTATTTCATTGATCTATATGTCTGTTCTTGAGCCAGTACCAAGCTGTTTTGAGAACAGTGGCTTTGTAATACAGCTTGATATCTGGTATTGAGATCCCACCTACTTTGATCTTCTTTCTCAGGATCGCTGCAGCTATTCGGGGTCTTTTTTTATTCCAGATGAATTTTTTGAATGTTTGTTCTAGATCTGTGAAACATGCCGTTGATATTTTAATGGGAAGTGCATTAAATCTATAGATTGCTTTGGGTAGTATGGACATTTTAATGATGTTGATTCTATCAATCCATGAGCAGAGCCTGTTCTTCCATCTGGTTCTGTCTTCTTCTATCTCTTTTTTCAGTTCCCTATAGATTTCCGTGTATAGGTCTTTTACCTCCTTAGTTAAGTGTATTCCTAGGTATCTTAATTATTATTATTGCGATGGTCAACGAGATTGCTTTTTCAGTCTCTTTTTCGGTAAGTTCACTGTTGGTGTATAGAAATTCCATACATTTCTTGGTGTTAATTTTGTATCCTGCTACCTTGCCAAATTCATTTATTAAGTCTAATAATTTTTTGATGGAGTCTTTAGGATTTTCTCTGTACAGTATCATGTCATTTACAAATATGGACAGTTTTACGTCTTCTTTTCCAATTTGTATGCCTTTTATTCCTTCTTCTTGTGTGATTACAATGGCTAGTACTTCCAGTTGAGTAGGAGTGGTGAGAGTGGGCATCCTTGTCTGGTTCCTGTTCTTAGGGAAAATAGTTTTAGTTTTTGCCCATTGAGTATGATGTTGGCTGTGGGTTTGTTATATGTGGCTTTTATTATGTTGAGATATGATCTTTTATTCCCACCTTGCTGAGTGTTTTTATCAAGAAAGGGTGTTAGATTTTGTCAAATGCTTTTCCTGCATTAATTGATATGACTATGTGATTTTTATGTGTCGGTTTTTTAATGTGATGTATCACGTTTATTGATTTGCGGTTGTTGTACCATCTTTGCATCCCCAGGATAAATCCTACTTGGTCATGGTGTATGATCTTTCTGATGTACTGCTGGATCCAATTTGCTAGAATTTTATTGAGGATGTTGGCATCTGTTCATGAAGGATATTGGCCTGTAATTCTTTTCATTGTGTTGTCTTTATCTGGTTTTGGTATTAGGGTGATGCTGGCTTCATAGAATGAGCTTGAAAGTGTTCCTTCCTCTTGACTTTTTTGGAATAGTATGAGGAACATAGGTTTTAGTTCTTCATTGAATGTTTGGTAAATCTCCCCTGTGAAGCCGTCTGGCCCCGAGCTTTTGTTTGCTGGAAGATTTTTGATGACTGCTTCAATTTCTTCTATAGTTTTTGGCCTATTGTGATTTTTAGATTCTTCCTGATTGAGTATTGGAATGTTGTATTTTTCTAGATATACACTTGTGCCCTCTCTCAGACTAGGACCCCTCAGGAGATAACATGGTATTTTTTAGCAATCCTTTGTATTTCTGTGGGGTCTGATGTAATTTTGCCTCTTTTCATTTCTGATTTTGTTTATTTGGGTCCTCTCTCTTTGCTGCTTGTTGAGCCTCTCTAGAGGTTCCTCAATCTTGTTTATCCTTTTAAAGAACCAGCTCTCGGTTTCAATGATCTTTTGAATTGTTTTTTTGGTTTCCATGTCATTGATTTCTGCTCTGATCTTTATTATCTCCTTCCTTCTGCTCACTCTGGGCTTTTCTTGTTGCTCTTCTTCTAATTCTTTAAGTGGTAGAGTAGATGATTTACTACCATTTTTCTTGTTTTTTAAGGTAGCCTGTAGAGCTATAAACTTCCCTCTCAGGACTACTTTCATTGTTTCTCATAGATTTTGGATTGTTGTGTTTTTATTATCATTAGTTTCCGTGATGCTTTTAATTTCTTCTTTGATCTCTTTGGTAACCCAATCATTGTTTAATAGCATGCTATTCAGCTTCCAAATGTTTGAATTTTTTGGATTGTTTTATTGTAGTTTATTTCTAACTAGAGGCCCGGTGCACAAAAATTTGTGCACTGGGGAGGGGGGTGTCCCTCAGCCCCACTTGTGCCCTCTCTCAGTCTAGGACCCCTCAGGAGATAACGACCTGCTGGCTTAGTCCCACTCCCGGGTGGCAGAGGGCAGGCCCAATCCCTAGGTGCCTGCCCCGCAGCTCCTGGTCGGGCTCAGAGCAGGGCCGATTGGGGAGTTGGGGCACCGCCCCCTGTCATGCACAGAGCAGGGCAGATCAGGAGGTTGCGATGCCACCCTCAGTCACGCTCAGGGTAGGGCCGATTGGGGGGTTGGGGCGCCCCCCCCGTCACACTCAAGGCAGGGTCGAAGGGGAGGTTGCGGTACCACCCCCTGTCACGCACAGAGCAGGGCGGATCTGGGGGTTGGGTCGCTGCCCCCGTCACGGACAGAGCAGTGCCAATTAGGGGGTTGGGAGCTCCCCCCTGTCACGCACAGAGCAGGGCC